CCAATATGAATACAGTAATACATCGTATCCCAATATCACATGTTTAAAAGTATCCAGCTTTACTTATTTAAATTAAAATATCAATCGATACATTACAAATATAAAATAAATGGTTTGTTTAAGTCCACATACAATTCAAATACCTACGTAATTTTTACTGTAAATTCTATCTTTATAATTATTCAATTTTTACTTATTATAATAAATTTATTAGTTTATATCACCTTACACCCACTTTACCCAATTATATTTTAAAATGAATCATTTTAACAATGCTCGAGTTCTATTTATATAAAATAACTATGAAACATTTTAATGAATTAAAAATAACAAATATAGCTAAAAGAATTGTACATATTTTATATAATTTTATATTAACTTACAAATGAAAATCGTACATAAAAAGATAAAATAATATTACCTACTAACGATAATATTTTTAAGCGAGTATTACAAGCTAATTCTTAAATAGTGGAAAAGCTAGGAGTATATTATATAACTAAATAATTATTTGGGTTTACGATAAAGATAGTTAAAATTGAGATACTTAGAATTGGTGTGCAATGAGACAGGTAAAAGTCTTTATACTTAATATATATTGTATGTTTAATACAATCCATTTCATTTTCAATATGATTCTAAGTCAAACGTGGTTTAACCAATATTGGAGTGATTGATTTATAACCACACGCATAATTTCATGATAAATTCGAATATTTATTTCTATAACACAATCTTTATTTGTATATAGTTTTTATTATCAATGAAATAATTAATCAATAAGAAAAATAAGCAAATAGTTGTAAAACTGACTATGAACTCTAATTAAAATTATAGAGTGAGAAAATATTCTACTACCCACTCAAGCTGCTAAATAAAAAATAATATATTATATTGATCTACCATATTGAACGACGCAGGATTTGAGGTCATCTGGTTATGAAGTATGAACTGTTGAAGGAAAATTTACAAATATTCAAATCTTAAATATTATAGTAAAATACGAATAAGTTGTTACCTACCATAAACTTTTTAAAACTTTAGAATTTTACTGTTTTAAAAGTTTTAGTACAGTTTTACAATAGTTCTATAAAAGAGAAAAATTCGAGTTCTTTATATTATTTTTGTATAGTATGTAACTTCCGTTTTTTTTTTTACCTCCCTGTATTTCCAGTATTCTTTAAAGCATCTTAAATAATGTGATTCGTATTTCACCATAGTAATTTAGGGTAGAAAACATTTGACCAGAATTTTGGAAACATGAAATTATACTGGCGTAATTACCAGCTGTCGCCAACAATTACCTATACGAGACGTGACTAGCTTACAAACGGATCTTTTTCCTCATGATAGACAACTAAGCGAGACAAGAAGAAATCTTTTTTTAAGTGACATGAACATATTTTCCTAAAATTTTAACTAGCATCATTTTCCTTTTTATCATTTAATTTTATACCTAGTTGTAAAAAACAAGAGAAAAATACAAATTTTACTTTAAATAATTATAATATATATATAATTTGCTGGTTTAATATTTAAAAAAATTATATAAATGTTTGGATCACTAAAATGTCTACCTACCTAGTTCAAATATTAAACAGCCAGCAGATTCGCAGAGTATACATTGAGTTAAAATTGCCTGTAAAATATCTAAATATTTAACTGCTAAACCATGCACAGCAATTTAAAATAATTGTATAGTATACCTACTTATATCTATAATAAAGTTATGGATAAATATAATTTTTCTTAACAATTTTAAATTACCATGGCACAAGAATCTAAGATCATAAATTAATTTATTTTACTTTTTCAGTTTGGGGAGGGAGGGAGGGGGTCGTTTAAGGTATCGAGTTTCATGTTCAGGCATAAAGGTCAGTTTAAAATAAATAAATAACTTAAACTAGTCAACATTGGACTTTTTACAAGCACGCAATTGCAGTATGCAAACAACATTTCCAATACTTCCTACATTGATATACCTAGTCAATAATGGTTTCAATATTTATGTACCTATATAAATGCAATCATTTTCTTGAATAGAAACAAAATATAGGCTCTAATCAATTTATAATACTGTAAAATATTTAAGGAATTTTATTCTTGTTTAGAATTGTAAAAACGTAAATATGTATTTATATTGACTGTTATTACTATGAAACAAAAAAAAAGAAATGTTATTGTTCTAAATTATACTAAAAGCATGAAATGCGACAAGGGGGTGTTTTATTTTATGGTTGTTATTTTACCACTGCCATTTTCATCTTTAAATAAACGAAATTCTGGCTGAGTAAGTTCAGTCCCCCGTATATTATTATATATTCATGAAAATAAAGCGTTATGAACACTCGCCCGCTGAGGCCTGTACATTCAACGGTCGGTAGATTTTGTTGGTACACGTCAGGTGCACGAGAGTACCTACTCGAATATATATTATTTTATATTATTACTTATTATTTATTAATACTATTTATTGAAAAACACGAAAGTTTGGTAAAATAATTTGGTTTCTTTTATTCAAAATAATCAAATATATTTTTCCGATAGATTCGGAAATATATAATATCATTTCTATTATATTCTAAGTGAACGTAAATATCGATTTTTATTTTCTGATACTCTCAAAAAGGAATACATTTTAAACATGATATTTGAATGAAAATTTAAATAAATATTTTAATAACTCTCTTGACTGATATATGACATGACAAAAGTTCATTCATACAATGTTTTAGATTTTAAAAAATAAATTATTATATTTAATGATTTAAAATAATTTTCCATAAAATGTTGTTTTATTTGTTCATAAATCAAATAGAAAAATAACTAATTGTTAATCATAATTGTTTTGACATTTAGAAAAAATAAAGAGAGAGGTGAGCGAACGTCTGTCTAATTTTATATTTTAGTAATTTACAGTATTAATCACATAAGTCCACAACATTATTTAAAGATCACATTAAAAAAAAATTCTTCACATACTAGGTTGGTTACTATTTTAGGCAAGTGTTATAAAACAAAAACGAAAATTGATTACTACCAATCACATTCTAAACATTTTTGGCAAGGTTTCAAGCATTTTATGTGTGAAGCAATAGGTAAGTGCTCTAATGATGTTTTTATTTTTCTTATTAACTCTTTTTGGGGGATAGAGAAGGCACTCAAAAAGTTTCGTATGAAATTTTTAAAGACCAAAAATTAAAAACGAATAAATCAAAAGGCGAATTGCAAAATTAAATTGTTATAATTTACCAAATTTGACCATTAATTTGAGATTCCAGTCAAATGAAAGTTGTGTATTATTGACTCTCAAAGCCCATCAAACATTTTGCAATATTATAAGGTATACTAACAAGCAACAACTATAACTTTTATTTCTTAACATTTATCATAATATTATTTTACAACAGGTACTCAATGTCTGGCTGCTAATTTAATATTTGTCTGTGTAAACTGTATAATAGTATTGCAACTAGTATATAGCACATATTATTATATAAGTTGATAACAATTTAGAAAAATTATGAAAGAATATCATCACACTGGTAAAATGCTCTCCAACCACAATTAAGGATGCTTATTTATAAATGATAAGTATGACTTTTTCATTCCATCTACAAAATATCAAAGTTAAATGAAACATCTAAACGGAAATGCCTAATAAAAATAAAATGCCGCCATTCAAGATATCCTCTCAGAAAACATTATACTTGATAGCATTAATAATTTATTGAGAATGTAAATTATAATACTATATTTTATTTGCACATAAATTTATTTTAAATACAAGAGTAATTTGTACGCTTCTAATTTGTTACTTATTTATTTTTAATAGTTTCTATAATAATGTTTATTATGTTATAGCCTATAGGAGGTAATACTATTATCAGATTATATAAAAATCAAATAAATTATAAATTTAATATTTTGTGATTATATTATGTTGTTTTAATAAATAAATGAATCCAGAGAATTTAAGAATTGTAATTTTGTAAACAGATATTAGAAATCAAAGAGTAATAATGAGTCATTAAAATTAATTTTAAATTTTAACGGCTTGTGAGTGGATTTTTACAATATAAAATTAATAAATACCTTTTTTTAGTGTAGGTATCTAATATTAATTTATTTTAAGTGCATTTAATTTTATTAAAATATATTATTTTATTAGAAAGTAATTTCTATATTAATAAATTTCTATATATTTTTATATCAATTAATCATGTCAATTTTTTTCTTCTATAGTTCTATCGTATTTTATATTTTTATTTTAAATTGCAGTTGTTATGTTTTATTATATGCAATCCTATACATTTCATTAATTATTTTTTAAAATGACATAAGGTATAATTTTTTATTTCACGTCGATAAAGGTATGAAAAGGGTGGATTTTATACAGAGATCTGGCCTGGGTGTTCGTCTCGCCTCGGTGCAGGACGCATGAGATATGGTGATTAAGCTAAATATTTTAAATTTTAAAAATATGATAAATCATGGCATTCGAAGGACGATTCTTCAAGTGAGCCTCAGCTTGATGTGATGTTTGTATAGGGCGCTTTAAAACTTTTAAATGCTTATGAAAAAACCATTATTCTGAATTTTACGATAATTCGGACAGTGCATAAGTAGCAAATATAATTAAATAAACTTTTTAAGGAAATTAGTTAAAATTATGACCACAAAGTATATAAAACCAAAGTGCCAGCCCAGAATGTAAACAAATAAGACTACGCCCCCAGGATGAACGTATTACTTTAAAAAGTCCGTATTAACAAATAACTACATTCCAAATGGAATACACAATCCTTTAAGACAAAACAATAAATTATTGACAACGTTAGAAGATCTAATTAACACGAAATATTATAGTCACCTAAAAACTGTAATGTTGTATTTCTATTGTATTATATCGTATTACTAACCAATAACCAATATCAATTACAATTATTGTTTTTACAAATAAATTAAAATCACTATATAGAAAATAGAATAAAATATGATTAAATTTCACTTACCTCGTCAAATATAAAATTGTCAATTTCTTCAAGTGGCATGCCATACAACTCACTAGGAAACGGCTCAAATTTGCTGGGTAACACAGATCCATCTAACACGCTCACTTTATTTCGAGTTTGGTAACCATACCCGACAGACGTTGAAACGTGTTGTCTGGTCTCCAGCGAATCTTTCGTTAATGGCCGAACTTGTACTTTAGGTTCTGTTGGGCTAGGTGTAGGTGGTTGCTGGCGACGACTTGCCAATATTGTATTAGGTAAACGGATTGGTAACATGATTGGAAGATTATATTTCACAGGTTCGTGTTCGTACAGTTTATTTCCTAAAAGGAAAAATAAACTTTAAATAATATTATTCTTCAACTAAATTAATTGTATTAATAATAAAATTTTCTTATCCAACTACATGTTAGTATGAACATATTTTAAAATTAAAATTATAGATGATTCCTTGTAAATATTCATACATTAGTATAAACATTGGTTCTAGATTGGACCAATTATTATGCTATAATATTGTAGGTACTGTATACTCATAAAAATTCAAAACCACTTAGGTAATCACCATTAATTTGTAATTTATTCATAAAAAAAACATTGTTAAAATTATAACAAAATAAACTAAATTTTCAGATTTTTTTTTAGACATGTGTAATATTTCAGGTTGATAGAGTAACAATTTAATGTACCTATCTGTACCATATTTGGTTTTTTTTTCAAACCTTTTTTATGCAAAGTTCCCATTATAACGATTGTAAAGCATTAATATTGTTACATGATAGTACATATTATATTTTTATGATGTTAATGATATTTTATGTTCAAGATAAGTTTTGTCTATATGATGTTCTGGAAAAAAAGAAGATAAATTAGCTTCGAGATAAGATTTATATCAATACGTAGCGAGATATCCGGCTGAGAAACGTATCCCGAAAAAAGTCAATAGTATAGCACTGTAATGTGGTGTAAGGACATAAAGATAGTAGCTACCTATAATAAGGAGGCAAGGACGGGGTAGATACCTACACACGCCATGTTGGAAAGAAAAGCGCTACACTGATGGACACGATAGGCGACGTGGTTGCTAAACGGTCGGTCACGCACTTCGCACCTACGGGATTACACCACGATGGAAGTGTGTAGCGGGCCAGAGGGTGAAACAATGGTACCGAGCTCGTACATTAGACAGCTTAAGAAAGATATACTGACACGTTGCTACCTAGCTATACCTGCCATGAAGCACTCAAGAGATTAGCAGACGACCGAATACTACGACGCCGCGCCAAGTCTTGCTATAACAACAGGTCTACCCGGTGGATTGCGCGGTAGAGTGATGAGATTATAATATAATATTTTGTGCATTCACTTCGCGGGTTTTCGCTCGAGCGCATAACATGTTTTTTTTTTTACCTTTACGAATCATTAATATTTAGCAACATTTATACAATTATTGCTTTTGTCTATTAAAGGTATATACAAAATAATAATAGTAATTTTTAAAACCAAAACTATAGTAAATTATACATTTGGATTTTAAACGTGGAAAAGGGGGATAGCAGGTAACCATTCTGCTGTACTTAGGTGTCGAGTATATCTCGTCATTGTACAAGTCACTGCAAAGTATGTGTTCATTTTGAAGTCAACTATAAATTATTGTATACGATTATACGAAAAACGCTTCTGAGCAAAGACAGACCGTCAGCCTATATATTACTAAGTTTACTTCATGATAACGTTATACTGCATTTCAACTATTAAAGTAATTAATTTTACTATTAGGTAAGTAGAAATGATTTTGGCCGATAACATTGAATTTTAAAATGTCTATAAATAAACGGTAAATCTTATATATTTTTAAGATTTTTTGATTTCCAGATGAACTACTTATGATAAAACTTATATCACATTTTCATTTCCTAGCTATAAAATTTAAAAATTACAAAATGTAAGCTATTTAAAGTTACAAAAGCTTACAAAAAAATTCTTGTCTATGTATCTTTAATATTTTTAAAAAGTTATAATACAAACTTATGAGGAACTTAGTATTACATTTTCAAGCTTTCTGACCTAACTAAAACCAAAAATATTAATAGACATTTATACAAAAAATAAAAAATAAAGAAAGGTAGGAAAGTGGGTGCCGCTTTTCTGTGCAGTAGGTATCGAGTGGAACACTGTAATGGATGTGTTATTAAATTTGAGTTCAAAAATATAAAATAATTGTATACGAAAGACGATTCTGATCGGAAAATGAAAATAATCTGTCAGCCTATATTACTGAGTATATTTTACGATATTATTGCTATTAAAGTCACTTATTTCACTATTATTAATTTAGTATTTTAAATTAACTATTTCCGAAAACATTGCATTTGAAAATGTCATTGTGTGTATAAAACAAAATAATAAACTTTAAGAGTTTCGAGTACTCTCGAATGATATTTTTAAATTACATAAAAAATAACTAAAAATTATTATTCTTTGTTTAAATTTCTAATTTTCACAAAATGTAAACTTAAAATATCTATACAAAAAAAATGTGTTTATATAATTATTAGATTTTTTGTTTATATAATAAGTTACAGTTACTATAGTTAACAATGTTGTTATACATTTTCATTCATTATTTATAAGAATGAAATATTAAATCATTTTACTAATTTTATAATTTAACCTCAAAATAATATGTAAATGGTTGTGATTTTGACGAATTCTATCAAAATTATAACTTTAAAAGTTAATGAAAAAATATTGTGACCATGTATTTTCAAGTTCTTTTAATTAGTATATAAACAAGTTATAAGAAACATTGAATTCGATTTTTAAACTTCAAACTTTTATACGAAGCAAAAAAGTTTGTATTTTTATTTCTAATTTGTAGAAAAAAAAAAACAATTTTCAAATTTCAAATGTCTATAAATAGTTCGGAGTTTAATTATTTTGATAAACTGTATCATATACAGAAAATTATAATATAAATGTTTGATGAAAATAGAATTCAAGCATCTACGGTTATTCGTTTTTGAGTTACAATAAAAAAACAAAATCAATTTTCGTTTTTCCTCACTTTTTTTTTGTTTTTCCTGAAGCCTGAAGGTTTTGGCGAGTAATGTGAATTTAAGATGTTAACCTCTTATAAGTACCAAGTAGATCCAATTTTCGACCAGAAAATACCCCTAAAGTTAAAAAACAATGCATTTTTTCTAATGCATACAGACACAAATAAAAATAAACACACTCATCATTTGAAAATCCAAAAATCGCAGCTCAGAATCTAAAATTGGAAAATATCAAATGTCTATAAATAATTCAAAGAGATTCAAAATATTTCGAAAATCCTACCATATGTAAGAGATGATAATAAAAACATTTAGTGGATATGTCAAGTATCTAAAGTCATTTGTTTTCGAGTAAACTCCAAAAAAACAAAATCTTTTCATAAAAACGTCAGTTAATTTTTTTTTTGTCCAGATTATTTTGGTGAGTAATGTGAATTTTTACTTTTGACAAATCCCCCTCCCCTCTATTTATGAACCAACAAGATCCAATACTCTACCTGAAACCACCACCAAAGTTGCTGCAATAAATTTCCGTATATTTGTTGGTTTGTATGTAAAGAATAAAAGTTTGAAAATATACGTAATCAAACTTAAGTAGGAATTTTTTTAGATCCTTCGTGAGATGGGTTCCAATAGTAGATGACACCAATATAGTTATATTGATCCTGGATAGACATCATTATAATGAGAATATAAGATATATTTTGAGCAAATGCATTGTACTTTTTCATTAAAAAATATTAATCATTGTATTAAAAAAATCCTGATTTCGTATTTCATATTGTTTGTTTTATATTTTTCCTTTTATTGTTACTTTCCATACAAAATAATGAGAGGTTCTTTTATTTTAATTCTGAAAGTGCATCTTGCACACCGTTTTCCTAAATGCAAACACAAAAATTATCATAGTTTAGCTTTTGATAAATTCTAATCAAAAACTGAAAACCATTATCTAACATTTCAATTTAATAATTACTTATCCGCTACATAATTAAACTTATATTTATATTTTACGTCTTCGCTAAATATCTAAACAAATTACAGATGAGTAATGACATATTTAAAAATTAACTTCAAATATTAAATTTTAGTAAATTCTGATAAAACCCACATCACAATTAAATATGGAGGGACGGAGTGGCCTAGCGGACTAAGGCGTCGGTTGTGATGCATACCAGCGCTGGTTCAAAGCTCGGTTCACGGGCGACATTTTTCTTCGGGCAAGTTACGGTGTCCGGAGAACAAGTGCAGCCACCCCCCACCCGGGCATGGCAGATACCTACGGGTGCCCACTTGAAAATCTGCCAAAAACTACACACACGTGTTTACGCGTGCTGTTTCCTCCCCCACAGCTTAAAAAAAAACCACCCAATGGCCTATGTTGCCGCAGGTTAAGTAATAAAAAATTTAAAAAAAAATAATTATGAAAGTATAATCATGCCTTTAATACTTATCAAAAGTAGTTAAGTACGGTAATATTTAAATAAAAACAATTACCTAGGCAGGTGTATTAATTTTCTATAGGGATTTGTTTTTTATTCTTATGACCTCAAAAACGTATTAAGTTATTTTAATATTCAATATAAATAAGTATACGTTATTTATATACGAGTATTTAATAATAGTTAAATAATAAATAATGCATACAAGAAATGTAATCAATTAAAATCAATGCATACTCATATAGTCATATTTAACTAAGATTAACTAAACAAGATCCATACAAAATAGTTGTAATTACTATTTCATATTTCTTAATAAAATTATAATACTCATCTGAGTATCATCACTCAAATCAAGATTTTAATCATAAAACTAAATAAAATATAAACAATACATTTCAAATTTATAAACATAAAAACGAAAAATAAATTAATGAAATTTGTTGTTGTTAACATAATAGCTAATAAATTAGTAACATTGTTTATACCTATACCTATATTAATAAATATATTTTTTTTATTTTATAAGGGAAATACCTAACCTATAATTGGTATAACGACTAACGAGTAAATAATGTCATATATTACAATATTATCCAAACCTATATATTAAAAATAATACTGTCTTATTGGAAAGCAATATGGATAGATCAAACAAAACTATTCAACAGTATTAACAAGTAAACTGATCATCAGAATATAAGATCATGTGTTTAGAAAATTGTTTATTTCATTAGTTATTATCTTATTGATGTAAGGAAATATTGAAGAAACG